GCTTGTTTTCTGTCGAATTATCCCCCTGTGATAAGTCGACGTGCAGTATATCACGCTGATCCTGTGTCTCCTGAACTTCCTTCCTACTTCTTTCTAATGCTTCCTCATCAGTTACCCAACCTGTGGGAGAGGGCATTATTCTTGGAGGTGACCCATACTTTTCAGAGCGAGGCACTCTCTTCTTCCTTTTGGGTGTCCCGTACAGTACGTAGAAATCGAAAGAACGCCCAGATGGTTCCCCCAACAAGTCTATTTCGCGGACTCCTTCTTGATGTAATTGCTTAAACAGAGTATTGCGCGATACTCCTCTCTTTTTTCTTTCTGCTTCTAGATCGATTTCTTCTTCAATGTCTGTCATCCCATCGTCTTCCTCGTCGTTGTAGGCCTCTCCAGAAGTCTGGCCTTCTTCACATACCAACACGCAAGCTTCTCCTTCGCTGTCCTCCCTCTCTTCTTCCTTTTCCTTATTCTTGAATTCATTGGCCAGTAAGTAATTATTGGCCACGACAGGAGGCAACGTACCGAATTGGATAGCAAGGGGCTGATCTGGATCTTCTTCATCCCTTTTGTCTCTCTCAAACCTTGATCTCCCAGAAGAGGTTTCTGGCATTTCCTTCATTGATTCATCTGTACCGGTCTCTTTACTACCTCTGAGGACGTTTTGATTGGCTACCTTGAGTAGTTTAGGCGCTTTAGGATGTGACACTCCCTGTTGCTGCCTCATCATCCGTCCGTAGTTTCGTTGGAAGCGCCTTTGTTGTGTCCTAGTCATCTCATCGAAGGGTATTGCCCTTCCTGCATTGTATTGGAATGAATGCCATACATTTGGCCGGCAAGGTTGCGGCCTGAATGTTCTTCCATTCTCTGCTGGTCTGAACTGCCTCTCAAAAGGCGGTCCTCTATAGAATGATGCACCTAGCCCTCTACCAGGCTGAGTGTTTGGAAAGAAAGGTAGGGCGATAAGGATGCTGCCATGTCCCTGACTTCTCCGTATTTCCATTCACTTTTATTTTACACCTTGCACACAGCATGTCTTTGTCCTTTTTTGGTTCTTTCCCCTTGATTCGTTCAAAGACACTGGGATGTGGTCTAGGATCTTCTTCTCCATCATCTACGACCAATTTGAATTTTGGTAACTTGTTCTTGAATCCAGAGGTTACCATGTTTATTCCAAGTGGCTGTGGGAAAGGATTTTCGTCCACTGCCATCTTTCTCTTATCATCGAACGTAATTCGTCCTGATTCAATGGCATCCTACAATACATGACGGAAAACCAAGCAATTGTTAGTCAAATGTGACCATGCATTATGCCACTTACAATATTTTTTACCCTTAATTTGTTCAGAGTTTGGCAATTTGTGCTTATCGCTCAACTTTATCTGCTTATCCCTATATAATTTATCGAATATAAGGTCAGCTTTGGTCACGTCGAACGAGAACGTTCTAGCCTTTATGTTTCCATCATTTATGGGCTCATCTTTGCCCGATGGCCTAGGCTTGGCCATTATGGGACAAGTATATGTATCCCCTTTGACCAATTCGGCCAAACACATTTCGGCCTGATCGTATGACTCATCGTCGATGGTATGAACGTCGAAATTTGGGTCTTTGTAATAAGTCCATTTGCTAGAATTTTTCATTTGTTCTTCCTCTCTTATCAGTCGCTCAAATCTAATTATATTCGCACTCAACTGGAAAAGATCAAGAAATTCCTTGTCCTGGAACTTCTTTTTTAAATCAAAGCTCGAGCAGCCCTGAGCGATCTTGACAAATTCCTTTTTGGGCAGCGGTACAAAACACTTGCTCCTTGCTGTCTTGAACCTTTAGAGAAAACTTTCTGCCCATTCATTTGGCATTTGACGTAAATTCGCCAAATCGGCCAATGTGACTTCAGACTCAGTTTTATAAAACTGAGCGTGAAACAACTGTTCTAATTGCTGCCGTGTTTGAATAGAGTTTGCTGGCAAGCTGATGAACCAGGAGAAAGCTACTCCTGTTAACGAACTAGGGAAAAGCCTCATTTTATGGTAATCGGTTATATCACCACTCTGAAATGTGAATCACCCTATGTGTTCTAGAGTAGACACCTCTCCTAAACCGGTAAACAGTGAGAATTCTAGCACTTTGTACCCTCTAGGCCATGGGTATGCTTGGTCTACCCAATCAGGATATGACTTTGTGTACGTCGGCCTGATAACGGGACGTACCCCAAAAGCCATCTGATCCTGTACGATTTCCATATCTGGTTTCTCAACATGGCGTTGGGGTCATATGGAATTCCTACAGATTGGTTAACTGGTTGATTTGCATGAGGCCTGATGTTTGGTCCTTGATTGGCAACAAAATTACCATAATTAGGGCCATTACCATTAGCCTGAACACCTGTTCCCTCATTAACACGTGGGGTCTGCTGTCCATTGTTTAGGACATTATCTCTTATGTTTGGATTACCCCCCAAGTTAGGCATACTACTATCGTTGTTCTGATTTGGCATTGTAGTACCTCCTTGGTTTGAAGTAGAGGGACCAGAAAGCGGTTCTACCCCTTGACTCGGATTTAGGACCGAGGGATTATGTCCCACAATTGTCCTAGTTTGAAAGTGGTTTGTAAGAGGTATAGCCGGTTGACATATTTGGCCTACTAACTTATTCATTGTCTCGTTCAATGTCTTTAGTTGTTTGGCCATGTTGTCATAGTGCATATTCCCATTTTGAGTAAATCTTTCCATATTATGAATACTTCGAAAATTTACCTGTTCAACGACGTCTTGTGTGAGTTCTTCAAGTAATGCACGTATGGTTCGAGGACTCAACTCCGTCACTGGTTCGTAACGACTGTTACTGCTCGGGTTTTGTCCATCTGTTCGTGGAGAGGCATGCTGCTCCTCGTATCGCTCGACCACAGACTGGATTCCTCCCTGACTTGCTGCTTCCTTATCGGATCTCTGAGGCATATTGTTTCCCCTTTTGTACTTTTAACACATAACACCACTGTCCCACTGGGCGTGCCAAATTGTTTCGCGCGGGTTAGTCGCTAACAATTAAAAAGGATCAGACGATTGTGTAAGGGACGAAACCTCTTGAGACAAAGTCCCAAAAGGGGTGTTCTTTTATTGGCGATGAACTTTACAATTGGAAACGAAAGACAACGTGCCTCCAAGGGGCGCAAGCACACGAGTTACTGAAAGAAAAGTGTTTAAATCTAAAAATTAAGGAAATGAAAATTACATGTTCTCTGTTCGAGAGTTTTGGATTCGGTCCTTGCTTCTATGTCCTTTCTCCCTTTTATACTTCATAAACGATCTCTTTGTGATCAACTACTCTAAAAACTGTTTGATCGTCCTATAACTACCCACTTTCTTCGTAATGGACACCTTGTCATGAAAACTGCCTTTTAACTGCTGCCATTACCCTTCATCGTTCAACCGCTTTCGATTGAATTCCTTGAATCGTGGAACGTGATAGGGCTGCTTTAATAACTGCTTTGATAACTGCACTTCTTGATAACCACGACGCGTTATGTTTGTTAATACCTTGGGCGACTTGAAGGTTGGGGCGAGAATAGAGTAACAGTTCTTGGCGACCGTATAACACTCTATTCGTTCAGATTCTGGGCGACTTGCAAACTTGGGCGATGGCGTTACCGCATTCTTGGGCCTCCTTATTTGGGCCTTCATCTTGATTTGTTCGATTGGGCTTCGTTCTTTGGGCTATCTGATTTGGGGATCCTCCAATTGGGCTTCACTCCTTGGATTGTTCGATTTAGGCTGAATTTTTTGTGTAAACAATTTTATTTTATGTGTGTGCATGTTTAGTCATCCTTAATTCCTTCTCTCTCAAATTCAACTTGAGCTTACGTTTACGGTCTTTGACAGTAATGTTGTAAAGTATAATTTTTTGCTTTATGCTCTCTTGTATAACTTTATGGCATTTTTCAGGTTTTTCTTGTTTTTAATTTTGGTATGACATGTCAAATTCTTGTATAAAGGCTATTTTCCCCCTTTTAGGATTGTATAGTGCATTTATATATATATATATATATTCTGTTCATCTTCCACAAAGTAACGAAATATTTTTAAGATATGCGAAAGGTCTGACACCTGAATCATTATTCCATACAAGTTGAGAAAAAATAAGTTGAAAGTGTTGAGCAATAAAATTTCAACCATCAAAAATAAAAGTCACTTTAAAACACTTGACGAAAACGTGTGATGATATCCCCAGGCATTTATAGATGTTAAAAATTTATCTTTTGACATTATGGATTTTTGAGTTATTTTTTGACATGGATATTTGTTACAATATATTTGTTTGCTATTAGTAGAGTAAGCACAATGTATGCAAAATGAGGATATGTCAATTAATGTTGTTACTAGTCATTTGAAGACACTTACTTTATTTTTTGAAATTGGATTTGAATCTGACAAAATTACTAATTAAGAAATTGCTATTTATTAATTTCTGCTTGAGTTTAAATAATTTGCACACTACAAATGACAATTATTTGAAGTGTTTGTAAGTTGAAGAATTTTTTTGAAGAATGACAAGGATTCTGATATTCATGTGCAGGAATTATTTTCTAAGTTGCAAATATTTAGAAATTATTTGTCAGAAAAGACCAAAAGGAGAATTGAAGTTAGCGTCAGCCCTGACTATTGACGAGGTAGGTGATCGTCCAATGCCTCACTTTGAAGAGGGTCCAAAAAAATTTTAAAAATTTATTATAGTACTCAAATGGTAACTCGATCTTTTATCTTATTTGGTGAAATTACTAAACTATAAGTATGCAATGTTAATTCGTTAGTCGAATTGAAAACTATATTTACACAATCCTTTGACATAGAATTACCGAATGAAAGCACAAGAAATAAATAAAATGCAAAAATCTTAAACAAAAAAATTCAGGATAAATGGCCTAAAAACGTGTCATTAGACTGCACTAAAACCTAACTTATCACATAAATTACCCAAAAGCCATTTCTTTCTCTACCTACTTTATCCCTTTATCTTTCACACAGCATTTTCTTTTTCTTGACCAGAAAGCAAAAGGTCTTGCTTCAGACTCCACGCTCTCTAACCCTCCCTATATTTTTTTTTTAATTCAACCGAACAAGGAAAAAAGTAATCTTGGTAAGAATTCATACTTTTTTTTTTAATTTTTTTTTTAAATAATGAATCAGCTCTCTATGAATTAAAATGTTGAAGATCCATGTGTTAATTTTCTTGATACATTTAATTTATGATATTTTTCTTCTCAAGTTCTTTATTATTTCATAGACTTTTGTTCTTATTATTTTGCAGTTGAAAGAAAATATTTGTCTATCAAAGCGATAACCTCTTACCAGGTTTGATTGTTTCTCAACTAATTTAAAGTTTGATCTTCTATTTGTGTTGTCTATTTCACTAATATGTCTACAAGAGAGTATTTGTCTAGACATGAAAAAATAAATTAAATAAATAAATAAAAGAAAAATTAAAGAGTTTATTCAATCTCAAATAGGAGAGATGGACAAATTTTTCGATAGTAATATTAACAATAGAAAATAAAGTTCACTTGAAGTTTGATTGATGAAGAATTTAAAAATGAAAATGTTCGAGTGAAGTTAATATGAATAGGGAGCATGAAAATCTAGTGGATCACGAGAAAAAAAAAAGTTGGCGTATGAATAAAATAGAAATGAACAACACGATATTAATTTAGAACGCATATCATTGCATTTAGACATCATTGATACACGAAATTGCATTTAGACATTAATTATACTAGTTACAGGTGTTTTTGCTGGGAGAAGCTATTCAAAGTTGACTTTAATAAAATTCTACATTTAGCCAACAATGACCTAAGAGATGTTGAATGAATTGATCATGGTGTCTATTGGAAAAAGAAATGTTCTCAAAATAGATTGATTGCAATACTAAAAAATTCCAAAAATGTGGTCCCCACCTTCTATTGTGAATAGTCGGTAAGGAATTAGATAAAAAAAAATTCGGTACATATAGCATAGTCCTTGATTGAAAAGGACGGTATTAAAATCAATGCACCAAAATCTATAAATTCACATGGTTGTAAACAAGGTGTCAAACTTGGTGTGTACATATAGCATGGTTGTATTAGGAAACGTTCAACACTAAAATGACTTTGTGAAGTTGAAGTCTCTCAAGTCCACCATATATTAAGTCATTTGATTGAAACTGAGAAATATTTAAATTTACAGATTGCTAAAACAGATCTCTTAAATTAAAGGCGACAATAGAGAACCAAGAGCAAGACAATGGAGAATAGTGAGCAACAGAAGCATTTTGTGCTGGTTCATGGAGCATGCCACGGTGCATGGTGTTGGTACAAAGTGGTCACTCTTCTAAGGTCCAAAGGCCACCGAGTCACAGCCCTTGACATGGCAGCTGCAGGTGTTCATCCTAAGCGTTTGGAAGAGCTCGCCTCCTTCTCTGACTACTGCAACCCATTGCTGGAATTTATGGCAGCTTTGATGCTGGACGACAGGGTTATTCTGGTTAGCCATAGCCTTGGTGGATTTTGCATATCCCTTGCCATGGAAAGGTACCCTCAGAAAATTGAAGTTGCTGTTTTCATCTCATCCTTCGTGCCTAGTCCTGATACTGACATGCTTGCCATTCGTCAAGAGGTGATGACTTGCAAATCCTCTTCACTTTCGTTCTTGAATAGATAAATGTTAGGCTTATAGAGAGAAAATGGGTGCAAATAATTGAATCTTTTTACCCTACATTGAATCTTGAACGCTAATATCATAATTCTTGGCTTACGTACAGTACCACAAACAGCTGGATTACATGGACAGCCAATTAACATTCGCAAATGAAGCGGACGAACTTCCTATGTCCCTCCTCTTTGGTCCCAAGTTTTTATCTAGTCAGTTTTATCAGTTGTCCCCTCCCGAGGTTAGAATACCAACATTTACTAAATTATGGTACAATTTGATTAATGTTCACAGAAATTTTGTATATGTATTTGCTCTACCTCTGTATGTTTCTTGCTTGATCTTTTAACATCGTAAGGCACTAGCAACCCCTTTAGTCTCAATTAGAATTCATGAATCACTATCATATCACAAACATACGAAATGATCAGCATGCAAGACTAGACACGACACGGGCATACGGCTGGGCACAAATCTTATATGCCACTTTTCTCTTATTCTCTCCCATCGCATCCTATTCAGTTGAGCGTACATATCATTACTGTATTTTAAAATGAGATACCTAGATAGTCAGGCAACTTCTATCCTAATTTTTTTGAATTCGATCTTAACAGGATTTGGCTCTCGCAAACTTGTTGATGAGACCAGCAATTTTCTACCATAGACCGGAATTTCAGAAAGAAATGGCTATTTCAAAAGAAAACTATGGTTCGGTTCCGCGTGTTTATTTGATTTGTGAAAATGAAAATAGAATAAAGCAGGGATTCCAGAAGCGGGTGATTGAAAATATTCCATGTGATGAGGTGAAAATGATTTCTGGTGCAGATCACATGGTTATGTTTTCTAAACCCCGAGAACTGTGTTCCTTCCTGCAAGAGATAGCAGAAAAATACTGATTACTGTACCACTATCTTTCATTTTTCAAAAATGCTGGACGTACAGAGTAGAAGCTACAGACTCCTTACAGAATTTTGGAAGGAAATGACGTGGCCACTAAAAAGGAAGGAAAAGGGCGGGAAAACAAAAAAAGGAAAAAAGAAAACGAGGGGGAAGATGCCAGAAACAGAGCCTTCCTTTTCTTTTCATTTAGAGGAAAAGAAGCTGCGTCCCTCTGGAAATCTTACCGGTCGGAGGTGGAGGCGCCGGTTGGCACCGACCGTCGGCTAGACTGTGAAGGGACGTGAAAGAGGCCTTCTCCGTTGTGCAACCAGAAATAGAGCTTTCCTTTTCTTTTCATTTAGAGGAAAAGAAGCTGCGTCCCTTTACTGGAAATCTTACCGGTCGGAGGTGGAGGCGCCGGTTGGCACCGATCATCGGCTAGACTGTGAAGGGACGTGAAAGAGGCCTTCTCCGTTGTGCAATTTTCTCTTCGTTTAACTCGCCTGGTTACTTCCAGCTTCCAGCTTCTCTCCAAACTTCCAGCAATTTTCTCAGGTTCTCTCCAAACTTCCAGCTTCAGGTACTTCATTCTTCTTGTGAGGCCTTCCTTCCACGTGTGCAATTTTCGGCCCCTTTAACTCGTCGGGTTACTTCACCGGAAAGAGGACAGTAGGACCTCGACTTCATTATTCTTGTACAGTTTCATTTTTTATCTGAAGTAATTAGAATTAAGAGTTGCTTCTTCGAATATTAAGTAAAGAAAAACTGAATACTATTTGGTTTAGAAATTCTGGAGGGGTGTAATGGCCCTAGAGCATTTTGTTATTGTTTGCCAGATTTATAAGAAATTTGCTTCTATTCAAAATACATTACCTTGTACTTCTATATGATCTATAACTTGGTTATTTTAAAAGCCATATATTTTCTGGGTTGAGCATTTGTAGTCGACTATCTATTGTTTACTTGCTACGTTAAAGCCTTCAAATTACTTCTCAAATGAGTATTGTATCTCTCTCTTGACAGGTCAATGGTAATAGATAATGACATGCCAGTTTCATTTAAGCTTCATTCGCCCCAAGTTTCTCTGTTCTCGGGTGCATGATCAACGTTGTCATCAGATGTTATGTAATCTTTCATGTATATTATTTGAGACTAATTATTGACGCTTAAACTTCCATTTTCCTTGAACAAGTTGATTGAAGTACCTCATCATATTGGTTGTCATTTCTATCATTGGTTTTTATTTTGCTGAACATTATCTTTCTACTTGGACACAGAGTGTGAAAATATGGAATCCGGGAACGAAAATGGTTTCATGGAATCCGATAATGAGATAGTTTCGGACAATATCAATGTTGCGGATAACGACACCTTGAGAGGAGATGGAGAGATTGTGCCCGAGGTGGGTATGACATTTAAAGATGAAAAGGAGTTGTTTGATTTCTACAAGCAATATGCCTATTCAATTGGTTTTCCGGTCAGAAAAAGAAATTCTAAAAAGGGGGATGATGGAACTGTTAGATTTGTGACATTTACATGTAGTCGTGAAGGCCGAAGGTCTAGTAATACAAACAGCGCTTTAAGGCCGCAACCAACAAGTCAAACAGATTGTAAAGCACGGATATCTGCATCTGCGGACTGTAATGGCACATGGAGAATTAACACGGTCAACCTCCAGCACAACCATAAGACAAGTCCTTCGAAGTCTAGGTTGTTTCGGTGCAATCGGGAATTAAGTGCAAATGTAAAACGGAAGCTTGAAATGAATGACATAGCGGGAATTCCACTGCACAAAAGTTTCAACTCTGCAGTTGTAGAGGCAGGTGGGTATGATAATATGACATGTATTGAAAAAGATTGCCGAAATTATATTGAACAAGTTAGACGGTTACGACTTGGAGAGGGAGATGCGACAGCATTACAATCTTACTTTTCGCAGATGCAAGCACGATGCTCAGGGTTTTACTTCGCTATGGATTTGGATGACGAGTCTCGACTTAAGAATGAATTTTGGGCAGATAATAGATGTAGGCAAGCTTACAAGGAGTTCGGCGATGTTGTAACCTTTGATACCACTTATTTGACGAATAAGTACGACATGCCTTTTGCACCTTTTGTTGGTGTAAATCATCACGGACAATCGACATTGCTTGGTTGTGGCTTGTTATCAAATGAGAATACAAGTACGTTTGTTTGGCTGTTTAGGACGTGGCTTCAGTGCATGCATGATCAACCTCCATGTGCAATAATTACCGATCAAGACAAAGCCATGCAGAATGCAATCGAGATTGTATTTCCGAATACTAGACATAGATGGTGTTTGTGGCACATTATGAAGAAATTGCCAGAGAAGTTTGGGTACCACATTGATAAAAGTTCAATATTTTCGACTATACATCGTTTGGTATATGACTCGCAGGTTGTTGATGAATTTGAAAAAGGTTGGAGAGCCATGATCGATGAGTTTGAGTTGCATGACAATGATTGGTTGTTTGGATTGTACGAAAATCGAGGTCGTTGGGTGCCTTGCTTTTTGAAAACAACTTTCTGGGCCGGGATGTCTACAACACAACGAAGTGAAAGTATAAATGCATTTTTTGATGGGTACGTCCATTCGAAGACCTCTTTGAAGCAGTTCGTTGAACAGTATGAACGAGCACTAAGAAATAAGGTTGAAAAAGAGTTCCAGGCAGATTTCAAATCATACTCGCAGATGGTCCCGTGTGCAACAAGTTTTGAGATGGAAAAACAATTTCAATTAGTATACACAATTTCAAAGTTCAAGGAAGTTCAGGATGAGTTTGTAGGGAAGATTTACTGTGATGTCGCTTCAGAAGTAGAGGGATTGGATGGGGTGAAGTACGAGGTTCGGGAGTCTGTAGTATACCTCGAGGGTAGGAAGAAGAAAACATTTCTCGTCTCATTTCGGAGGGAGACTAGCGAAGTGATGTGTAGTTGCCACTTGTTTGAGTTTCGAGGAATTGTTTGTAGGCATGCGATCACTGTGTTGGACCGTAATGACTTGACCCGAATGCCAGAGAAGTATATATTGCGGCGGTGGAGGAGAGATGTCGGTAGGGCACATACAAGGGTCGCAGTGAACTACGCCGGGTTGGTTAGTACACCTGAACAATTAAGATATGATGATATGTGTCAAGCATTTTCGGAGGTGGCAGACCTCGCTGCGAATGACGAAGGGCGGGCTCGGGCAATAATGGATTGGATAAAATGCCAAGCAACAGAGTTGAGGACTTCCCGGTCGAGTGGTGGTAGTAATGTCCTTCCCCAGCAAAATTTTCAGGGTGCCACACAGTGTATTGGATCGCAGAATACTACTGGCGTGAGTGTGTTGAATCCTAACTTGTCAAACAGAAAGGGCGCGCCAAAGAAGCTTCGGAAAAAAGGCCCGTTGGAGTCTATTTCGAAGAAGGTAACGATGTTTTTTCTCTATTAATCTCTTCAAGTACACGCCAACTCCAGCACAAAATTTGAATTCTGTCCATGACTATGCAGGCAAGTTCGAAGTCAGACAAAGGAAAGCGACTCAGAGATAGGCGTACTGATATGGAAGAGACGGCACCTGAAGTCCAGCAATCTCAACAACTTCAACATTCGCAGCCAACACCATTCTCGTATTCACAGCTTCTGTTGGTCAGTAAGCATAATTTATTTTCGTAGTTTCTATATTTTTATTTTCTAATTATGTTGGTATTGGACATAGGGTGACTTCGAAAGTCAAGTGTGTACGCAACCTTCAGTGGCTTCTCCTAATGTTGTATTCAATTCACAAGGTGAACACTGTTTACATAATCTTAATTAGTAGTCCATTTTTTCCCTTCTCTTATGTGTTTTCTGACCAAAATTTTAATTTAGGTGCGTCTTTTGCTAACTCGCATTTACCGCATCCCGAAGTTGCAGTGACTGGAACGAGCCAAATGGCATACAATTATGTTCAGGTTCATTCTTTGTAAATCCAGATGTTAGACTATAATCTTGTTAGACCGAATTTCGTATCTTATGTGTTATGTTATTTTTCTCCTTCTTTCAGGTTCAAGGTTCAGATTCTTTTTTAATAGCAACGCACTTGCCAAATTTGTCCAATGTTCTCCCAATTACTCATCCAAGAAGGTCGTTTCACAACGATGCTAGAATCTCAGACGACAAGTGAAAATGGAGGATTGCACGAGGGTGTTTATGTATTTTGCCTCAGTATGTTGGTTCAGCTATACCATGAAAAATGGAGACGCAAATTTTAGATACAATGTGCATCTTAGATACAATGTATTCTGTTCTTTAAATGTTTTAAATTTTCAAGTTATAAAGCTTGTTTTGTGACCTTAAATTCTGCCAAGGAAGTTCAACACTGAATTTTGAATGCAATGGCAATTGAATTAAGTTCTGCCTAGGATTTCATTCTGTCATTATTTTCCCCAAGCAGATGTTGCTTATGAGTTCTGCCTAGGATTTAATTTTGGAATCCAATTCATCATCAACTGTTGCTTCTAAATTCTGTGTATTCCGGATTAATTCAACAAGTTCAACAAGTCTGTAGTTTCTAATGTTGCTCTGCCTAGAATAATACATACATTGCGGCCAGATTTACATTCTTGAAATCAACTGGATTCTAATGTTGCTCTGCCTGGCTGTTACTATAGGTTTTCGAGACACAAAACATATTAGCAATGCATCAGGTAACATCTGGCATTATGGAACATTGAGAAAGTACCGAGTTTCATGTTCAGAACAAAGTTCCCGTAAACTGGCTCGTGAGTTTGGGTCCGAACCTCGGGATCCTGCGTGTTCGAGGCATTGGTCTCATACATACAGAACTTGTGTCTGGAGTTCCAGCCATTTTTTCTCATTTTCTCACCAATCTACGGGCTTTCCACCAGGTTTTAGTTTTCCTGTGTCAAATATGTTCCAGTGCCTCATATGAGACCTGAAGAAAGATTCGTTGTGGGAAGAATCGGGCTAAAAGATTACCGAGTTTATCAATGCATAGCACGTTATGGCTACCGTGATATTCAGATTACCGAGTTTATCAATGCATAGCACATAGAGAAATTTATCTTGCCAAATGAAGTTAATTTTTCTACGGTCATTCCACGCATGTATCTCTACTCAATCCTTCACATCCGACATACAAAGAGATATTAAAAATAACACATCAGTGGCTTGATGAGATTAATAATGCAAGCATGCAACAAATTGAACTTTGGACAATAGAAGAGAGAGTGTACATTTGCAAACAATTACAATTGCACAAACAAATGCCAAGTCCATCCTTTCAACTTCATTTTCAAACTTTATGAATAGAGTTCCTGTTGCCACTATCAATAACTTACTTCCTACTACTACTCTACCTCGTGCCAACCTATGTTGGGGGTTGATCACCATCACAAGGAGTTAGTAGGTGCATTCAAATGTTGGATGGGAAGGAAGCCGCATTCCACAAAATCTGAACCAAGAAACAGCATACTTTACCTTCAGCCATCCATCACTCTACCATCATAATATATAGAGTTTAACTCAAGTGAACAAACCGCCATTATCCGAACAAGTTCTCCAACACCACCATCCTAAACATCCATTACCTATTTAACACTTAATGAAGATCAACCTGAACACAGCCACTAATTACCACCACCTAACCTAATCAATAGAACATACTCAATTTATTTATGGACAAAAATAGCAAATTAATATTCCGAAACCTCAAAATCAGTTCTGCCTACTACCTACGCGGCGTGGCCCTTCCCTTTTCCACTCCCATTCACCTCGGCACTTTCCTTTCTCTTACGGAATGTCATGTTCAATGAAATTTCAATATCTCTTTTCTCAACTATTCTAGCTAGACTATCGAACATGGTCGGCAAATCTTCAAATTCCTTGATGGCTTCGGGATTCACAGCTTCATTAGTCGTGCTAGATTCACCGCTTGATTCTTCGTTTATGACCCAATCAAAATACCCACAGTTAACACTACATGTTTTGAATAATCGCCCTTTGTTCTTTGTCTCCCTTTCAACTTCAAAACATTTTTGCAGTCCGTGTGTGCACCATGGGCATTGTCGTTTTATCGGGCAATCCAAGAAGGAGTGGTCCGTACTTCTACAGCCGTGACAAACCCCAAAATTCCTCCCCTTCATCCTGGAACATAAAAACTGAATTATTAATATTGAAAAAATCAAGTGAAATTCTTGAGAATTACATATTTTAAATCTAAACTTCAAATGAACTTCTTCATATGCTGACATGAATCATACGTTTAAATCTACAAGTTGAACTACATTGCTTAAGAAATCACAGTATGCAGAAGATTAAAAAGATCCCAGCATACCTAATTCAATTACTGTACATACCAATCGAATGCTAAAAACTTTGACAAATTAAAATCACAAAAAGGCTCTCAAATCACAACCACTCAAATGGATGTCAGTTTCTTCTAGCCTCAACAATTTTAACCTCTACAAGCTATACTTTCATTTGGATCATAAATATATACATTGATATGCAAATTCTATACAAACCTGAATTACACCCTATTTGTTCATAATACAGACTCATGACCAAAACACAAATCAATTTAAAAATCACGAAAAATGAAAACTAAGTGACAAGCCAAAAAACCCAGTTCAAATAATACAAACACCTATCCCATGGAGGTAAAATCAGCACCTACAGAGAAATGTAGAAATGAGTCCAAGTGGGTTAAAGTTACTGATTATCGAAATAAGGAGTGATTACTGTGGGGTGGGGTGTCTACCTATCGAAGTAGAGTGACCTGATTTCGGCTTATGTGAAGCTAAACAATGGCAGATTCTGGGTCGACACTACTCCATAGGCTACACGTTGTGGATTTTGTTGCGGCAACTCGTCGATCGGGCTGGCGGAGGTGGATTTCGGCCGGCCAGAGGTGGAGGCGAATTTTAGGGTTCGAAATGGTGAGAGAATAATTGTTTCTTTCTTCTTTCCTTTCGTTTGGGGCTTATCTGAGGGAAAATTTCATTTTTCATTCGTGAAACAAAACCGATCGTGCCAGTCACGTGATTCTGTGAAGAGTCTGTAATACCCATTCTGTACGCCTAGCTCGACCCTTCATTTTTTAGGATGTAAATTCCTGATTTTAGGCCACATTATTGTCACGCTGTCTTGGCCTGTGACTCTAGAAGAAATTATGGGTAATTAGCACATAACATTCCTACTTTTCATTATTAAATTGGAAAATGTCCATACCCTCTATTTTTTTTGACATTTTCACCCTCAATTATACATTTGATTAAGCAAAAGCTCATTTTCATCAAATTTCTCAGTTCAGTGAAGGGTATTCTCATCATTTTTTTTTCTCTTTCTTCCCCATTTGAATCCGTTCTCTCTTCTATTCCTTCTTCTGAAATATCAAATTCGGCCAAATCCAAATCGGCCATGTTCATGTTTGCTTGAGCTCTTCTGTAAAGTGCCTTCACATTTGTACTCTTGAGTTCCAACACCTTCACACACTTTCCTCGTTAAACAATTGAATCCATGATTGGCTCTCACATATTTCTCGGCCT